CAGAGAAACTCTTAAAGTCATCAATCGTTGGCGGTCGAGACATTTTACTGCAAGCCGAGCAACAAAGTGACTTTAAGCAGAGTACCGAATTGTAGAGGAATGTGAAATATGCTTCCTAGAACTGTAACAAGGTTGGAAAAGCCGGCTGTAGTGGACTTTAAGAAGTAGGGGACCAACGGAAGACTTCGACGCAAAAAGAGGGGAAAGACAGAGGAAAGAAATAGAGGGAGATTGACAACAATCCAACTTCATTATTGGGTGTCAGGCCATTACAGAGTACTACACGTTAGTTTGTTTGTTCAAAATCAGTTTTGTCTAGTTTTTCCTACGTGCTCAGTGAATTTCCGAAGGGTTTAGGGCATAGCCAAGATAAATATACAAAAAAGTAAAACCGAAATACGAACAAATAAACATAAACAGCGAAAAACAAACAGCAAACAACCGTCTTGAACCTATGGGTATTTACTTCGGCAGCATGGCAACACTTCCTGAACAAAATCGTTTTTCACTGAATAGATTTCGGAAAGTTCAACGGGAAACGAGAGGCATGATCTCTCSCCCTAGCCCCCACGCAGACGCTCTTAGGGCTCGTCACGCGTACCTCTCCCACCTGGAGTAAGAACGCGTGACGAGCCCTAAGAGCGTGTACGTGGGAGCTTACTCCCTCCCCGCCCCCCATAAAACCGAGCCCACTATGAGAGTGGTTATCACGTGAATGTCGAAAGTAATTAGTACCTGCTTACATTACTATGCTATGCGATTGACTTAAAAAAAAAGAAAAACATCCACATTGCCATCCAATCACTGAGCAAAAGCAAAACTAATGGTGACTCTTTCGCACACCTGTTTGAGCGTTTTTGTTTTTTTTTGCTACGTCCATTTGCTCTAAGTTTTGATTGGTTTACTGGATCTCCTGTGTCCTTTGGGATTGGCCAGAGGGATTACTTTCAGTTGGTTTGGGTTTCACGTCATTCAATTCAAAACCACCCCAAGCTTATGGGTAATTAGTCAATCAAATAATAACACGAACAACCTAGTACTGAATCAGTTATTATTTTCAATTGCTCATTTACACACATTGTGATATAATTTGCAGACAGCAATGCTCGTTAGGCTATGGTGTACGCTTCGAGCGCCGTCAAGACCGAACAGAATTCAATTCCAACTAAAACGCAGTTGGCAAAATGTTTAACTATCGGTGGCAAATTAAATGGCTGA